GTGTGTTGTGTTGTACATAGGGTTTTCAGAGGCCTGCCATTTCAGAAGTGGATGGCCAATCCTTCTTCCTAATCTGTCTTAATCTGAATGTTTAGATTTATATCCGGCCTATAGTCTTTGCAATTACATGCTATGCATCAGAGAATTGGACAGTGAATAGGGATGATAGAAAGAGAATTGATGCCTTTGAGCTGTGGTGCTGGAGAAGAGTGTTGAATAGGAGAACAAACAAGTTTGTCCTGGAGAAGTTGAAACTGGACTGCTCCTTGGAGTCAAGGATTCTGAAGCTTCGTCTGACATACTTCGGGCCATGTTGCAAGGAGGGACTGGTCCTTGGAGAGGGATATCATGTTTGGCAGAGTGGAGGGGCGGCGCAGGAGAGGAAGACCCTCGATGAGATGGATCGATTCTGTGACTGGAATGGTGGGAATGAGTGTATTTGAGATGGCAAAGTTGGTACAGGATAGAAAGGCGTTTAGGGCTCTTGTACATAGGGTCACTATGGGTTGCAAGCTACTCGATGACACATAACAACAACAGCAATGTCCTATTTATAGCCAGCATTATACCCAAACTATTTCACAATAATCCGCGCATAAAGACAGTATAGTTTTCTAGAGACTACAGAGAGTGAACCGTTAACAGGAACACCCACAAAATGGAGGACAAGGGGCTAAGAGCTCTGCGAACAACGCATGGGTGGAACCCAAAGCAAGCGCAGAAGTCACGGTTAACTCTTCCTTATTGGACTAACGCTCGTGCTATTTCTTTTTCCATTGGCTTCTCGGTCCGTCTCTTTATCAAAATAGCCAATCGCCCAGCGCGTTGGGTAAAGCCCGCCCCTTCTGTCGTGAGGAGGCGGAGTCTGAAGAAAGATTTAAAGCCACATGCGCAGAGCGCGCCGCGCAGGTTGAAATCAGGATCTGGGCGGTCCGGGGGCGTTGTTGTGCTCCTCCCCCCGCCGCCGCCAGACGCTTTCCTGCGCGCGCTTCAGCTCGCGATGGGGAAGAAGACCCGGGCAGTACCAGGCCGCAGGCCCATCCTGCAGCTGTCCCCGCCTGGTCCCCGGAGTAGCACTCCTGGAAGGGACCCAGAGCCGGAGATCGATATCGAGCCGGACTCGATGGCGGCTGCCCCCGGCCCGCCAGCCCCGGCGGCGGCAGCGCCCATCACGACGACTGCGGCGCCGCCTGCCGCAGCCTCGGACGACCGACCTGCCGAAGGTGAAGATGCGCGCGAGGTCCCCGCCCGGAGGCTAGGCCTCACGAGGCGCCTGTGGGGATGGGAGAGCCGGACGGGTAGGGTTTTCGGCGGGTCCGGCGCGGGGCCGCGGGGAGGGCGGCGGTGGAAGGGGCCCCGCGGCGACGCGAGCGCCATGTCTGCTGCAGGTTTTGCCGGGAACGTTTGAATCCGACGGTGGCCGGGAGCCCCGAGACCTTTACCAAGGTCCGGCCTCGGTTGGGAAGAGCCCAGACGGTGGGCGAGTGGGGGGTTTTTATCCCTGCGAGGCCTGCACATCGCGGATGCTGTGGCCATTTTTCTACGTCTGTCTGTCGCCGTTCCCCTCCCGTCTTTTTGTTGAAACTGAAAGCGACTTTGTAGAAGTTTATCGTGCTCGGCAAAGCGTAGCTGCCCCCGAGCCGGCGTGCTCGCCACGTCCCCAGGGCTGGAGTAGAACTTGGGGGTGCGTTGGCGTGACTCGCCCCCGGACCCCCGAGCGCCTGGGTGCAGGGTGACCGGACCCCGCTGCGCCGGGCTGGACGCGGGACAAGCCGCCATCATTTTAGGTCTATACAAATCACGTGACAGTTTTCTGCAGCGCGGAAGACACTAGGGTGATGCTGGTTAAAAAGGCCTCTTGGGATCCTGGAAAAGAGAAGTTTCTTTTTTGCGTGTGTATGGTTTGGTTTGTCTTTCATTTTGAGGGATTTCCAAGAGAATGTAAAAGGTGCATATTCACCGCGTAGAGCCAACAGATGTGTTTTTCTGTTCTGGCGTCGTTCTCCCCACCGCCCAAGAAAGAAAAAGTTGTCTAGCAAATTCCCTACTACCCCCAAATTCCTTTTATTTTTGTTTTTCTCCGTGTCAAGAATGTCCAGAGGTTGATGGATATGCTTGTTTTGGGGGCTTTTACACTGTGTATAGGCTGTTTAGGGAGCTCTGATGTTTTCTTACTTGTTGTTATGTGCTGTCAACAGTGGTTCATAGGGACACTGTGAACAGTGGTTCTGAACCTTGCCCTGACCTGAGCCAGCCTCACTTCTCCTGACACACCTGACTCCATTGCTGCACAGTCACTGTCAGTCCATCTCATCCGGGGTCCACTTCTGCTCTGACCCTCCACCCTTCCGAGCCTGAGGTCCTCCTAGGACTAGTCCCTCCTGGCAACCTGTCCCAAGAATGTGAGACGGAACTTCAAAATCCTTGACTCCAACAAGCAAACAAAATGGTTTTACCCTCTCCAAGACAGACTCTTGTTCTCTTGGCATCCGTGGTATTTTTGATACTCTTATCCAGCACCACAACACAAAGGGATCTGTGATTCTTCTCTCATCCTTGGTCCTTGTCTTAAATGCATAGCAGGCAATTGAGAAGACTGTATGGCCTGGATTAGGCTCTGGTTACTAGTGTAGTGCTAGGAAATCTTGATACGGTTATCAGCTTCCATTTATTTGGGTCATCCTATTTTTTCAAATTGACAGGGCTTAACGGTAAGGATTTGCGCTGCCAGCTCAAAGTTAAGCAGTTCAAATCCACAAGCGTCTCTGCTAGAGAAAGTCTCCGATATACTGTTTCTAAAAATCCTCTAGACGCTCAGCTATGGGTGGAGTCTGACAGCACATAGCAGCAATAACAAGACTTTGAAAGATCTCATCAGGATGATTGTTGTTTTGACCGTAGTCTGATGAGTTTTCTTTGCTTGTTTTTAGATCCAGATGAACAACAGGAAGTGGTGGTGAAGGTTCCCAAAGTTGTTCAGAATCCTTCAAAACCAGTCATGACTGCCAGACCCACAGCTGTTAAAGCAACAGGTAGGGGTTTTTGTTTTTTTTCTTCTTCTTTTAAAATCACCTGTTCTTGAAATGTATCTTCTTAGATGTCTTGAGTAATTTTCCTTAATATAAAATTGGATTTGTATAGATTGTTTTATTGATTACTTCAGTACTGCTAACATGTCTTTTTTTTTTTTTTTTTTTTTTTTTTGTGTACCGTCAAATCAGATCTGACTGGTAGAGGAGGGATATTTTCCCTCCTCTGGCAGAGCATCTGGTGGATTTGAACGATGTACCTCTGGGTTTGCAGTACAGCTTCTTGCCCCTAGGCCATCAGAGCTCCCTTCTTGATTCGTTTTCTGGCCCACGCACTAACTAGCTGGCTAGTCCTTAAGACTTTCTGAACCTGTGTCTTACCTGTGCTTATATTCCTTTAACAAGCTGCCTAGCAAATTTTTGTGGACCTAAAAATTATTCTTTAAAAATCTTCCTTTGTCCTCAAGAGGTGTTATGTATAGCAGTGGTTTTGTAGGCAGACCTAGGTTCACATTACTACGCTAGCATTCACTCATGACTTTCAGTTAATAAGTACACTGAACCTCCTTCACCTAAAATAGAGCTCATAATCCTGAGTATGCAGTTGAAAAACATGTACAAATTTTTTTCCTGCAGAGGGGCTGTATGGGACAGTTCAGTCATTCTGACAAAATTTCCTGCACCTCTTTGATATACCAGATACTTTTTTTTAAATTAAATTTTATTAATTTTAATGAACATTTACAGAGATTTTGGGTTTTCATTCATTCATTGTTGCACTGTTTTCTCCACCCTCATCCCCAGTTCGATCTTCTTTCCCCCCCCCCTTGAAAGTCTGTTTTAATTGTCCAGTTGTCACAGTGCTTGTCAAAGCCAGTTCTGATTAATCTCCTTTGTCAGTGTGTCCTTTTCCATTCCCTATCACTCCTCCCTGAGAGAGACTTCACTCTGATTCATAAGGAAAAGGGGATGGCGTATTCTCTTAGCTACTTCTTGCTGGAAAGGGACGCTGTGGGTTTCAGGGGATATACCAGATATTCTTATATTGAGAGTATAACAGTAAATGAAAGAAAAATTTCTGCCTTGGTAGGTCCTAGGTTTAATGTTGCTCACCAAATTGGAACATTTTAAGAAAGAATATAGGATTAACCCAATTATAATTGTGACTTTGAATTATATCTATGATTTTCTTTAAACAAAAATGTTTTTATTATTAAAAAAAATTTAAAAATGTTTTTATTACCAAAATACATATTTCTTTTGTCCTGAAAACTGCACTATCAGTATTAAGTACTAAAAAAAGTAGGGGATTTCCCACTCCCCATACAGAATTTTTTTTTGTAATTATGTTGTTCTTTTTTTCTTCTTTTTAAATTCATTTTAATGAAAGTTTGCAGAGACTTTGAATTTCCTTTCATTCATTGTTCCACTTTTCACTCTGTGCACCCACCCAAATTCGCTCTTCCCTTGGAAAAGTAAAAAAATTTCTTGCATTGTTATGCAATCCCTCCCCCCAAGTCCACTCTCCTATGCTGCCTTCATTCTGGACTCCAGTAATACCTAATCATATATCCCTTTTATAAATAGTTCTCTACCTCATCAACAGTGGCATTAAGCAGTATTTGTCTTTTTACTTACTGACATATGTATCCAAAAACAAGAAAGAAAAAAATATTTGAAAAAATGGAAATACTGTCCGATAAAGAAATGTCTATTTGAAAAGCATTCTAATCAATTTAAAAGAATATTTGGAAAATGAAAAGTAATGATTTCATGTTGGAGTTTTTGCCTATATACCAAAAAATAAAGCAGGACTTGACTGAGAATTCAAAGTAGATTCTTACATAATGAATGAGACCACTTAGGTTTACTTTTAGATGGACTCATTAGTTCCTTATGTAATAAAGGACAGAAAACTCGATTGACTTCCTGTTGAATTGATTTTTTTCCTTTCAAATATTTATTGAAAACTTAAGAGTCTACCAGTCACTGTAAATTAAGTTTGTATTATTTGTAGCTGAAACAATTAGCTAGAATACTTTATAATAATAAAAGTAAGCTTAGAAGATTCCTGCTTATGTATACATGCATATGTATGCACGTGTGATTATAGCATTAGTGTAACTACAGATGATCCAGAGGAAAATGGCTTAGCATTAAGGATGAGTTTGAAAAATACATTGATAGTTGGGTATAATTTCTTTTTCTCTCCCTCTCCTTGTTAAGAAAAGGCAAACTTAATTTCAAAACAACCTGAAAAGCGCAGTCCCAGATTCTTTGGCTACAAACTGGAGGCACATAGTCACTTGCCCATATATAATAGCATTGTCAAAGGTACCACAGAGACCTCATTCATGTTTTACGCAGCTGATTTGGTAATAACCTTACGCATTTTTTTAGGAAGTATTCTACATGAATTAGTCCTCATAGCAGCCAGCTGAAAGATTAGTCCATTGATTTTTGCATCAGTTGGGTTACATCTGCAGTGGTAGCCAAATAAATGAGATTTCTTTGTAACATATGCTGGTACCAGATTCATTTATTCGCTTGGTCCTTGTTCTGATAAACCCAGTGATAGAGCCAGTCAGTTGGTCTTTCTTCTCCAGGAACCTTTAGTAGATAGTGTGATTCATTTTCACCTTTCCGTCCACAATCATCCTGATTCAGAGGTCCCCATGGTCAGGTCTGCACCTTGCTTAGAGCCCACTACAGTCTGGGCTTGATGGGTAGTTATACCTGTTTTTTGAGCTCTATTTTAATTCCTCTCATTTCCTGTTTTAGAAATAATCTCTGTTTCAAATGTCAGACCTAAGTAACTTTAGCTGTTTGAAATTAATATGTTAATCACCAAATTATAAAACGTTTAATATATTTTTAGCTTCTGTCAAGTTGGGCCCTAAACTCACTGTGACCTCATGTTTTGCCTAAAGTAACTACTTCATACTGTCTTTCTGGCTATAATCTTTATGAATGCACTTCACTAGGACTGTGTTCATAGCGTGAGCTCTGGTAGCCTAGTAATAAGCTGTGCTGCAATCCTGAAGTCGCGTGGTTTGAATCCACTAGCTGCTTCATGGGAGAAGGATGGGTAGTCTCTTCAAGTGTGATTTACTGACTCTGGAAACTCACTAAAGGGTCGCCTATGGGTCAGTTCTGAACCAGCAACATCTTCATAGCTGTTGATTATGTGAAAATCACCAACCTTTAGAGTAGAAGCTAGTCAAACTGCTTATCATTCAGATTCCTAAAATGTATGACAGTCTTATGTGCTATTTTTTTAAGAGATTGACTAAATGATTAGGAGGATATGGATTAAATGTGAACTCTTTGACTAAAGAATCATGCTGCATATTTTTAAAATATTTCCTAAATCATACTGATTTTGTTACTATATTCCTTTTTTGTTTTTAGGAGGTCTTTGCTTACTTGGTGCATATGCTGACAGTGATGATGATGAAAGTGATACTTGGGAAAAAACAACACAATCAAAAGAGACAAATGGAAACCAGTCAGCTGATATTGACAGTACATTGGCCAATTTCCTAGCGGTGAGCAGTGTTTTTCTTTGGGCTTGCCCTTGTTGAGGATCTAGGTCTCTCAAGTGATTAGCATCCTTTTCACATTATTTCCCTCTTTCTGTTTCTTTCATTCTTCCTACTTTAATACCCTGTTCTCTCTCTCTCTCATCATCATCTACTAAATTTGCTGGTTTTGTTGTACTGAATGCATTTGTTCTTTTCATTTTAAAGGAGATTGATGCTATAACAGCTCCTCAGCCTGGTGTTTCTATTCCCCCTCCAACTCCACCTCGTCCAGAGCCCAAGGAGCCCTCAACATCTGCCCTTTCTTCCACTGCGTCCAATGGAACAGACCCAGCCCAGATGTCGAGGTGGCAGTATGATACCCAGTGTTCACTGGCAGGAGGTTAGTTTGATTCTTTCACTTTAAAAGTTAGATCTGAAGTTTGTTATTGTGCTCGCTTTGACAGCACACATAGTAAAATTGCAGTGATACAGAGAAGATTAGCATGGCCCCTGCATGAGGATGACTGGCAAATTCGTGAAGTGTTTTGCTTTTGAAATAAAGTACAGTTGCTAATGATGTTCCAGGAAGTGTAAGATTCTTAAGAGGTGAAATCCTTTGCTTTGTTTTTGAAAGGTAAATGCTTACTCTTTTGACAAGGAGCAGCTTATGATTGGTGAGAATTATAAGATAAAATACTTGGGGTCGAAGCAAAGGCATCAGTGAAGTAGCACACTGCTTTTTTATAAAAACCATGTAGCAAAGGCGACTTACAAAATGTGTATTGAGAAAGTCATTCTTACTGCATCACTCCTCAGTTGAATAGAGATTGCTCCTCAGATGAGTTGGCAGTGTCTGGAGACAGTTTTGGTTGTCACAGCTAGGAGATTGTTCTCTGTTCTCAGTGTATGCCAGATAGAAGCTGGGGAAGCTGCTCATACTGTACACAGCCCTCCACAACAAAGAATTCTCTGACTCCACATTTTAATATTGTCAAGATTGAGAAAACTAAGAAGAAAAAAAAAAAGAAAAAAAAAGATTGAGAAAACTGTCTTAGGTTTTTGTACCATAGGACTGACTCTAGGTATAAAGTCAAATGAGCATCTCAAAATTACTTTTCTTTTCTTCTAGTTGGAATTGAGATGGGAGATTGGCAGGAAGTCTGGGATGAGAATACAGGGTGCTACTACTACTGGAACACCCAAACAAATGAAGTCACTTGGGAATTACCTCAGTATCTTGCTACACAAGTACAGGGAGTACAGCATTACCAGCCCAGGTAAGTATGAACTTTAAAATCTGTTTCTGAGGAGATTAAGATTCTTGTGTTTTGCTTAAAATGTTTATCTTTTTTCTTTCTGTCTTTATCTCTTTTTAGTTCTGCATCAAGTGCTGAAGCTACTTTATTGATAAACACAGACATAATGACTAAGGAGAAGACAGTATCTGTTTCCAGTAGTAAAAGTGGTCCACTCGTAACCAAGCGAGAGATTAAAAAGGTTAGTGTTCCAGTTTACCTTGTGTTTGTTTATAACAAGCCCACGTGGGGTGTTTTAGGGGGAATGACTTAGTGCAACTTCTCACATTCTTTGGGCATGTAGTCAAGAGGGGCCAGACATAATGGGAAAGATGGAGTGTCAAGAGAAAGAGGAAGGATCTCCCCACCCCCACTGCCCCAGATGGATGACAGTGGCTCTAACAGTGCGGGTCAGAGATCGTGAAGATGGCACAGCACAGGAAAGATACAGGTTCTCTATGAGTCACAGTCAACTTCAAGGCACCTAACAGCAGTGCAAATTAAGGTTTCCTCTTATATGCAGTTTTCAAAATAGTTTAATACCCACAATTGTTACTGTGTTAAAAGAAATGGAAACTTTTTTAAGGTGTTTTTTTTTTATTTTATTATTTGTGTGTGTGCAGATCTGACTGGTACAGGAGGAGATTGTCCCTCCTTTCCCGGCAGAGCATCTGGTGAATTCGAACCATGCTCCTCTGGGATTGCAGTGCAGCTTTTTGCCACTAGGCCACCAGAGCTCCCCAGAAATGGAAACTATATATTCATATTTCCGTTTTGGAAATACTTCACATGCCTTTAAATCACCTTCACTAACTTAACGACATTATTATCTCAATTAAGAAAACAAGAAGGTGAAGATTTATCCAGTCATGTCTTCAGCTGACACAGCTTTTTAAAATTGTTTTGTTGTTTACTACTCTGACTTTTGACATTTTTTAATATGAGGGGTGAGTGTACTATTTAAACAATAACACTTTGAACTTTTTATCTGCTACAGTCCATAGTTCAGTCACAGTCTCCTGTAACAGTGTTGTAAGGAATAGGATACCAACTATACATACTAACACATGAGGAGTAGATGGTGTGAGTAGTTATTTTGGTGTGCCTTTGAGTTGGAGCTGACTCTCCATTGGGTTTTTAGAAGCAGTAAATCACGGGTAAGGACACTGCCCGTCTTTCTCTTACAAAGCAGCTAGTTGACTCAAACTACATCAGTTTGGATTGGTGGTTACCTGGTCCAGCTTCTTACCCACTAGGCTACCAGAATTCCCTGATGGCATGAATGCATTCCACAAATGAAGAATAAAGTCTATAGTGAATATAAACATGACTAAGAAAGAAGTGCAATGAACTGATTTTCTTCTTTTTAGGAAGTAAATGAAGGAATCCAGGCACTCTCAAATAATGAGGAGGAGAAGAAAGGAGTGGCAGCATCCCTGCTTGCCCCTTTACTGCCTGAGGGAGTAAAAGAGGAAGAGGAAAGATGGAGACGAAAAGTCATTTGTAAAGAAGTAGAACCTGTTTCAGAAGTTAAGGAAGCAAGTACACCAGTGGAAGAAACAGCAACAATAATGAAGCCCCAAGAAATTATTATTGACCCTATAGAAGACCCTTCTCAAGAGGATATTTGTAGTGTGGTTCAGTCTGGAGAAAGTGAGGAGGAAGAAGAGCAAGATACCCTTGAGTTGGAGCTGGTTTTAGAAAGGAAAAAAGTACGTTTTTGAAAATTTACTAAAAGTTCCAGTGCATTTTGTCCCCTCAGTCTGATTGTTCATAATTGGGATTCACTAGCACAGTGACCAAGATTTTCTTTTCTTATCCTTTTGTGTGCTATTGCCGTTAAGGGACCCTTCAGTAGAAGGTGGAAATTTTCTTCGTATATTGGTTTTCTTATAAGAAGGCAGAGTTTTAACAGATGTCAGAACTACGGTTGAGCCAGTGTTCCAAGTTCTTACAGTCAAAGAAAAACTGAGATGGACTGGAATGTAAAATTCCAGTCCCTAGAATGGAAAAGGAATAGGAGACTCAGAAGAGAAGTAAGCTCTGAGAGAGTGGTGCAGGAGATAGATTATTACCAGGATAAAAGCACACGTTCAAAGCAATATAGCCAGCCACATGTTTGAGCAGCACAGCATTGTTTGTGAGTCTGCTAATAAAGAGACTTTACTTACACATGACCCTTGTTTTCAGAGAGGGAGAGTAAAAGTTTCTATCAGGACATCAAACCATAATTTTCCCTTGTCCTGGTTAGTGTTGCCCATTTGAAATCAGTGTTGATATCCCTCATACCATGGCCTCTTTTGAACCTAGTTTTACTCTTTGGCTTTTCTCCGTTGATGTACTGTTTTAGACGTTTTAAAATCTTTACTGAGATTTTATTTGAACATAATAGTGATATTTGTTTGCTAATTTTTTATATTCTGTTAGATCACATTTTTTTAGATCTCTTCCAGTCAGTTGGCCGTGTAGCTGTCTTCCAAATTTCTTGGCATAGACCAATCAGAAAATCAGGGCTGCATCTGTTTGTTGAAATATACCAGTTGGTATTACATCATTTACTAGAGTCTTATATTTTACCACTGCCCTGTCAGATGAGTCTTAGTTGTAAGAGAGCATATTAGGACAAGCTTTATGTATGTAATAATGACTATACATTGGGTAGTCAAGGGTAAACTATTTGCATTATCCAGGGAGTAGCATGTACATACCATCGAGTCAGAACTGACTCACAATTGCCTCTGAGAACCCTTCAGTGAGTTTTAATCATGTGGAAGAAGATTGCTCATTTTTCTAACTCCGAAGCAGCTGATGGACTCATGGTTCCTTCAGTTAAGCAGTACAGCTCCTTACCACCAGGCTACTTAACATTTAGCAACTAATTATGGAGCATAATACTCAGCTGTAAAGAAAAATGTATCAAATCTGGCCTACCCTTAACAGGTTTAATTTTCAAAACACAGTCATGGCTGCCATTCCTTTTTTTTTTTTTTAAATTATTATTATTATTTTTGTGTGTGTGTACTGTCAAATCAGATCTGACTGGTACAGGAGGAGATTGTCCCTCCTTCCCCGGCAGAGCATCTGGTGGATTTGAACCGTGCATCTCTGGGATTGCAGTGCAGCGCAGCTTCTTGCCACTAGGCCACCAGAGCTCCCCTGTGGCTGCCATTCTTGTTTTCTCACATAAGCACTTAAAAGTTGGTAAGTAGCTAATGAAACTGACATTACTGTATTGTTTCTTGTAGGCGGAGTTGAGAGCCTTGGAAGAAGGAGAAGGGAGCGTGTCAGGGTCTAGTCCACGTTCTGATAGCAGCCAGCCAGCATCTCAAGATGGAATGCGTCGACTTGCCTCTAAAAAAGGAAAGTGGAAGTTGTTTGTTCGAGCTACCAGTCCAGAGTCCACCAGTCGGAGTTCTAGCAAAACTGGCCAAGATACTCCAGAAAACGGCGAAATTGGTAATTTATGCTTTTCTAAAACTTCACGGTTGAAAGATAGGACAGGAAGATAGTAATTTTATCCTTTTTAATCTGTGTAAGGACAGGGAGTTTGCTGCTTCTCTTCTCTGCTAGGCAAGTAAGGCGAAACTCAGACTCCTCTACGTTCTACATGTAAATTTTTCAGCCTCCTGTAAACAGTTTGATCCTGTTAGAAAGAATAAAGTTAGCATTGTTCATGCTAACATAGCAGAGCAAGAGCTCCTGCTGCATTTTCCTAGTCTATATCAGAAAGTTCTAACAAAAACTGTTCTATTAATTTCAATTTGACCTGAATTTACAGTGGAAAAGTTAATAGGATTTGAACACCAAACATTACTTGAGTACACTTAGCACAAAATAAATTTAAGAGTCATAGTTTTAAAAAACAATTTCACAGATAACAAATGCCAACATTGAAATCTTTCTTTTAATGATCAAAGTAAAATTCTGAAAGTTCTCTTTTCCCGTATCATCAATCCTTGAAGTCTTTTTTTCTCTCTCCTATCTTAATTACATCTCTTCCTCCTTTATAGGTGTGTATCTATGTATTCATGATTTCTAATACAGGTTTGATTTATACAGAGATAAGTAGAATTTGTAGGTAGGGGAAAAAGAAGCTGACAAAGCTGATCTTTGTCAGGTTAACTTTGCAGCTGTTGGAAGAGATGTCTGTAGGGCTCATGCGCTCTCACACTGTTCCTCTCCTCTCTCCCTCTCCCCCTCTTGCTTTTCCTCCCACAGAGGACTCTGCCACCAGTTCTCCCTAGAACTCTTGGCTATCAGTGTTACCATTTAATTTCTGATATTTCTTTTGCAGCCATTGGTGCAGAGAATTCAGAAAAAACAAGTGAGACTTCAGACAAAGAGATGGACATAGAAGAATCTCCAGAGAAGACTAAAGTACAAGTAACACCTAAGGTGGCAGAAGAACAGGATTTAAAAGTATGTGTATTTTTGAGGTTTGACAGAGTACTTACTCCTAAAAAAAGGACCAGTCGTTAAACTACTTTTTGCTTTCCTGTTAGCAAGTATGAAAAGTAATCTTTGATGTCTCTAAATGTAAATAATTTACTTGCTTAGGTGGAAAAGTTAATACTGAAGGTGAAAAAAGGAATTATAAGACTGATTTAATGGAGAGAAATGATGTAAAATTCTAAATGCTGGATTATAATTAATTTATGTCACATTATTTTTTCATTGGAAGTCAGTAATTTAGAAAATGACAAAGTAATTGTAAATTCACACAGGAATGAAATGTGTGTTTTTTAGTCTCTTCAGAACTTCCAAATCATAGGAGCAGCTCATTTTATAACAAATTTCGTGGGAAGAGTTGCACCAAGTAAATTTTTGCCTACTTGGTCCTTTTTTGTCTCTTTCATCTTTCTGTAGTTGCCAGCATGCCTTGGAGTTTTGGGTTTATAGATTCTCTTCCCTTCCTCTTGTTAAAGTCTCTCTTCCCACAGTGATGATGTTAGATGCCATCAGGTCAACTCCTAGGAAGCCTTTGAACATCAGATAACCTTGCAATCTTTTTGAAAACCTTGCTCACCTATTCACTAGCTTTTACACACTATGTAGTGGGAACTGGTGTCAGCTGGATCCTGGGTGAAAGGAGGGAATATCAGATGAATGTCTACTTGTGCTTTATTGACTGTGTAAAGGTATTTGACTGTGTGGATCATAACAAGGTGTGGCTGACATTGAGAAGAATGGCAATCCCAGAGCACTTAATTGTGCTCATGTGAAACTTGTAATACCTGGACCAAGAGGCTGTTGTGCCAACACAGCAGGGGAACACTGCATGGTGTACAATTGAGAAGGGAGTGCAGTAGGTTTATATTCTCTTTCCATACCTATACAATCCGTATGCCGAGAAAATTATCTACGAAGCTGGCATCAGGATTGGAGGGGTAGACTCATCAATAACCAGCGTTCTGCAGATGACACAACCTTGCTTGCAGAATGTGAGGAGGACTTAAAGCCCTTGTTGCAAAAGATCAAGGAATGCATTCTTCAATATGGATTACATCTCCATGTCAAGAAAACAAGATTCTTAACCAGTGGACTGACAGGCAGCATCATAATGGATGAAGAAGAAATTAGAACTCAGCAACCTCATCTTGCTTGGATCCACAATTAACACCCTTGGTAAACAGCAGTTAGGAAATAAAGAGATTAATTGCACTGGGGAAATCTGCAATTTGGGGATCTCTCCAAATTATTAAGGAGTAATGATGTCAGTTTAAAGAACTAAGGTGCATCTGATTAAGGCCATGGTTTTCCAATCACTTGCTGTGCATGTGAGAGCTGGACAGTGAATAAGGATGACACGAAAAGAATTGATGCCTTTGAGCTGTGGTGTTGAATAAGAGCACTGAACATCCCATGGATGGCCAGGAGAACAAACGAGTATGCCTTGGAGAGGGTGCAGTCAAAGTGCTCTTTGGAGGCAAGAATGATGAGGCTTCACCTCATGTACTTTGGGCATGTTGCTAAGAGGGGTACTCGTTGGAGAAGGATATGATACTGGGAAGGATGGATGGTCAGCTAAAGAGAGGAAGACCTTCAACAAGGTGCATTGACACAGTGACTGCTGCTGTGGGCTCTTGTGTTTCAGGAAGTGTGCGAATGGCAAAGGATGGAACAGGGTTCAGATCCTTTGTTCATAGGATTGCTATGTGTTGCCTTTGACTCTAATAACAACTCTTGTAATAACAACAGTAGAAACTGGATAATTACTTCAACCATTGTCTTCAATGTTAAGTGCTTAGATGTAGCTATATGAGAAAAGCTATTTGTAGGGTCAGCTGTGATATCTACAGAAGCAGATTGCCAGGCTTGGTTCTTGTCTGTGCTATTGTGTGGCCTTGAACCAGGGACACCTCATACACAACCAAAAGGAAGGTTATTTGTGGACAGGCTTTTATTTCCGGTATCTGTAACAATTGAAAATTTGATATAATGCAGAAAATGTTACTGACTTTTTCCCCCTTGCTTTACAGTTTCAGATTGGAGAACTGGCAAACACCCTTACCAGTAAATTTGAATTCCTAGGCATTAATAGACAGTCCATCTCCAACTTTCATGTGCTACTCTTACAGACTGAGGTAATTTAGCCAGTTTTTTAATAAACAGACAATGTTTGAATGCTGGGGTGGGGGTTGGGGGGGATGGAACAGGGAGGAAAGCGGGCACACGCATAGGCGAGCAAGCAAGAGCTCTTTCTTGGGTTTTGATTCTTTTTTTTTGTTTTTGGTTTTGGTTTTTTTGGGGGTTTTGATTCTAAATGTAAATTTTTAATCTTGGTGCACATAAGGAGACACCAACCCAAGAGATAAACCAAACATACTGCCATTGGTTCTGTACCAGCTCATGGTGACGACCCAGTGGGTTTCTGCGGCTATAAGTCTTCTCTGCTTGCATTCTCTGCTAGCAGCCAAACGATAGCCACCAGAACGTTTTCCACATTAGCCAGGGCAAAATGTGAAGATGAGTATGGAGAGTTTGTGATGTATGAAGGCTACTACAATGAAAACTAGAACCAGTAAGGGATTACCAAACAAAATAGTCTATTCATAATGGCCACATAGGGCCACAAATTTTCGAAGAACTTTTTAAGGGTCTAAAGCATTATATACCTATTTTAAAGGAAAGGTTTTGAGTTCTGTTTATAGTCATCTGTGTAATTTACAAAATACTATGGAACCTAATGGTAATGTAGTCTAAAAGAGTGAAAACATTACTACCAGAATTGTTAGCAGTGTCAAAATGTGCTGGGGCCCAGTCCCAGTATTCTTCACAACTCTCCAAAACAAGTAAAATTGTTTTATAAAATTAAATGACATTTCTTTTTCCTATTTGGTCTTATTCTGTGTCAGAATCGTGTCCTTTAATCTGTGTCACTTGACAGAGTAAGAACTCAGAAACTGACTTAGTTTTCCCTTTTTTTGACTGTGTGTCTTCTTCACTCCAGACTCGGATTGCAGACTGGCGGGAAGGTGCTCTTAATGGAATCTACCTTAAACGAAAGCTCCAGGATGCAGCAGAACAACTAAAACAGTATGAAATAAACGCCACTCCTAAAGGCTGGTCCTGCCACTGGGACAGGTACGCACTCTTCTCCCCTTTTCACCTTTCGCCTTTGACATCTCAGACATGATTTGTGATCACCATCACCTGACGACGTAACAGCCTGTCTGGAGACTGAGAGCAGCTATTTATTAGCGGTGCTTAGCAGGCAGAGCACCACAAACACTTGCAAAGTCTGATCATCCACGCATTGGAGAAACAGATAGCAATGTTTACAGTGTTCCATGTAACGGATTTTTTCCCAAGATTGGACAAAGCTGGCGTTCACTCCAGAGTGTTGCACGGAGTAGGGCGGGCTTGGGGGTTAAGCGCATGCGAGAGCTCTGTGCGCTTTACAGGACCTCTGGAAGCAACTCCTCCTGATTAACCTCGGAGAAGTTAAGGAAAGCTTCGTGGCTGAAGATGTGAGTGAGGAACAAGATTCTATCTTCGACCAGCAGGTCAGACGAAACCATTTCTTTTTATATTTGGCTTTTCTGATTTTTTTTTTTCATTATTTGAAATCTTTGCTCTTTTATTTTTCAGCTCCCAGATCCTCTCCCTCTCTTTAGCTTTCACTGTGTTTGATACCAAGAGTATGACATGTGAATTCCACGGTCCAAGAGGGGAAGAGTCACCTTTCAAAAACTTCGTTGTTCTCTTCTTTGGAAGGGAAATTAGTGTTCTGGGCGATTGAGTCCTTTCAGTCATGAAACTTGAAACCCTGTATTGGCAACAAAAAACAAAACTGAGGTGTTTTCTAAGTCATCTGTTGTTGAGGGCTCAGGGCTGTATTCACAGAGCTGCTGGCAGTGCAAATAGCTTTGAGTTTCGTTGGCTGTCCATCCTCAATTGTCAAAGCTCTTTGTTGCCTTTGTGAATAGCAGTCCATTAAGAAGAGGTTCGTCCCTGTGAGAGCAGACTGCTGTCCCGGGACAGGACCAAATGGAGTGTCTCTGTGGGAGAACGGGTTTTAAAACATGTGTTTTCTTTCTTGTAATTTAGGGATCATAGACGATATTTCTATGTAAACGAACAGTCCGGCGAGTCTCAGTGGGAATTTCCAGATGGTGAAGAGGAGGATGAAGAACGCCAACCACAAGAAAATAGAGACGAAACTCTTCCTAAACAAATTTTGAAAGACAAAACTGGCACTGATTCTGCCGAATCCTCTGAGAATTCCACAGGTAGGAAAGTTCACCCTTTGCTAATTGCAAACACAAGATTTTGTTAATTTCTAAGAGAAGCTCTTAAGCAAAACAGTTTCTAATTGAGAAAAGCTACCTTGATGTAAATTTACATGCATTCTACATAAAAAGTGTCTGATTAAAATCGGCATGCTCTCCATATCCACATACCAGACTCTGCAAAGGTGAAATGGTGAGCCAGTATATTTTTACTTAAAGTTACCCTGCAACCACTATCAGGCTATTGATTTCCAAAAAACTGGAGTCTTAATTAATGCCACAGAATTAGAAGTAAGTCAATGTCTATGTGGTATCATAAAATGAAATTCGTTAGTGTTTTAAAAGAGCACTTTTTGAAGGATTTGCTATTGCAATCTCCTTACAACTTCATAAATCAGGATGATCTCTAGAAACACCACAAAACTAGTACCATATTGTTTAAAATGCACTTTCATTGTTCTCAGTTGCTCTGTAAAGATTTGATTGCTCTTCAGAACCACCATGACTTAATAGTCACACTGTGGATTTTATATAAGTATTTCTAAAATGTCCAACTTTTACAAAGATTTATATAAGTATTTGTGAATAAACAGAATGGCCAGTATTTTCTCCTTAAGTTCATCTTTCATGAAATAAGAAAAATACATTAACAGTTCACACAGTCAATGTTGATAGTATTTAAAAGAAAAAATCAATGGAATACTTAAAAAAGTAATGGGTGTTTGATGATTAAAAGAAGAAATTTAGAGTTTGATGATACAGTTCATAGCATTGCTAACCAAAGAGAAGGAAATTTCTTGATTAATATGGGGAGTAAAGAGTTGAATTCATTTTTCCTCCTCTTAGAAATGTTCCTTTGATTTCTTCTCGTTTTAGCAGATTCTGGTAGTTTGTCAGATGAAACTGGTAAATTACCAAATGCTAATTCTTAAATGACCTCTGAATCTTTATCAGATCACCCTAAATGAAAAATCACAGGTACTATGATAATTTTAGGACTGTTAAAAGCATTTTGTAAATTAGTACCCAACTTGGGAGGGACTGGAGAGCATTATGCTGAGTGAACAGTCCCACAAGGACAAATAGTAAACCATTGAAGAATGAGTATAAGGATTTGGGGGAGGGGGGATGTGGAAGCAGAGGGATGAGGATGTGCAGGGGAAGGAGGATTAATCATGGAATTGTACAATTTGGTGAGTTGGGGGTGAGGGAAATTAGAAGAACCTGTTCTTGAAAACAGTACATTAGAATTTTTGTAAGCTACTATAATAAAAAAGACCCCCAAAAAAAATCTTTTAAAATAAAAAAGCATTCTACATCACAGTATTTCACTTCTGTTCATAAGATTTTCTTTTGAATAGTTTCTTAGTTATGATGTGTCTGATACTAAAGTTGCATTGTTGTTTATATACGGGTTTTAGTGGATAAGTGAAATGAGGAGAATTAATAGTATTTTTGTAGGGAGATGCCATCCCTGATCACTGTCAGATGATCAGTGTAGAGTGATACAATTTTACTCTCTAGCCTAAATTCTAAAGTTCTGGAATTAATAACTCTTCACTATGTTCTTATGGTTCTGTGAGTACTAAATGTTAAGTATTTAACATTTGAGTTAATAATCATATTCATATTTAGCCTCAGGCTAAGTATTTTCTTCCTTTATTGTTGACATGTGGTGTTGGTACTGTTTAGTCACAGGAACCTCAAGCCATTCCCATTTGGTGAAGACAAGACTAGTGCTATAGGAAAAAGTCACTGATACACGAACCTACGTATTCTTAAACTCTGTGTATGGAGACTTCCTAGAACCACGTGATAAAACCCAAATCTTAGACCAAGATCATAGGCATATTAGAGTGAAATATTTGATCACAAATTTTACTTATTTATTTGTTTTTGTGTGAAGTGTACCGTCAAATCAGATCTGACTGGTACAGGAGGAGATTGTCCCTCCTTCCTCGGCAGAGCATCTGGTGGATTCGAACCGTGCTCCTCTGGGATTATAGTTGCACCTCCTTACTACTAGGCCACCAGAGCTCCCCTTTGATCACAAATTTTAAACCTAAAGAGTTCATATACATCTATGCTCTTGGCTGTCTCAAGTGGCTAAAGAAATTTTTAAAAATTACTACATTATGAGATGCACGAAGTTAAATCAGGATTTATTTTTCCAAGAGAAAAATTTACTTGCTTGAGAGATTGCCATGCCCTACTTTTGAAAACTATCTGGGTTAACACCGTTCTGTAAGCCATCAACAGTCAAGTATATGAATTATTTATACCATCCATCACTCAGGGACTCTTAAGTCTCAAACGATGGATAGTATCTCAAAATATCTTAACATGCCTTATTGGGATTTTGTTAGTTTCAATAGCTACCATTTCTGTTTGTTTTGTCTGTGAAACTATTAAGGACTCTTGGTGAACAGTGCATAAAGAGCCTGGCTGCTAACCAAAATGTCAGTTTTGAGTTCACTCATGGAAAAAGACTTGTCTTGGGTGCTGAAGGAGAAAGAATCTTGTGTAAATATTTACACCCTTTGAAACCTAGTGGAGAGTTACTGCCAGCATCAAATGTAGCATGTTACAAAACAAGTAGTTCAGTGTTTTCTTTTAAATTGTTTATTTCTCTTAAAGCCATTGTACTTTAAACAATATGGTACTAGGCTTTGTGGTGTTTCTATAGATAATTTGGATTTGTGTAATTAAAATACTGGCTGTAATTCTGATTAGCTTTGCTAGAGATTTGTAAACCACATTAATCACCATGACCATACTAGGATTCCATGTGTTCCTCTGCAAAATGGGGGTACATGAGCATCATAAATGTATCAGAACTACACTAGAGGTGAAAACTATTTATGTATAAAATCACACTCCTACACTTGGTATGTCAAGATTGGTTTAGTAGAAGGAAATTTAATGTAAACTTAATCTCCCAGGCTTATTACTTTAATCCTGAAATAATTTTTATACACTCTCAATATATCATCTATGGTGAATATTCTATTCAGACTTTTTTTAAAAAATCAGCTGAAGGGGAGCTCTGGTGGCCTAGTGGCAAGAAGCTGTACTGCAATCCCAAAGGTACATGGTTCGAATCCACCAGATGCTCTGGCAGAGAAGGAGGGACAGTTTCCTCCTGTACCAGTCAGATCTGATTTGACGGTACATGCACAAAAAAATAAAAACAAACAAACAAAAAAATCAGCTGAAAAACAGTATTTGTTTTCTGATACAAATTTTTATTGTACTTTACTTAGCAGTAACACCTCAAGATAATTGAAGTGGCAACTTCCAAAATATATTACCATTCACCTGTTCGATTAAAAAGTAACTCATTTCAAGTTGGAACCAAGGCATAGCTGATCCTTCAGTGAGTTTACTGAAGGTGTACATATTCCAGATTGGAGATGCCCATCTCTATCTACTTGAGCAGCTGGTGGATTTGAACTACCTACCTTTGGCAGCCCAACTCCTTACCACTAGGCCAACAGAGCCCTCTTAAAAAAAAGTAAAGGAACTCGGAAAAACCAAATGGCTTAATCACCTTGGCCTTACCTTTATTTGAATGCTAATACTGTAGAATCTGACCTTAGTGTTGCAAAGACCTCCTTGCTTAGGAACTTTTTATAATCTAACTCTTGAACCTACCGCTGTGACATGAAATTGAACAGGGGATTGCATCTGTGTCTCTTCTCCATGAGAGATGAGATTTATTTGACTGAAATTCTAAAAGTCTTGTAATCCTACTCTTTCAGCAGGACACCTTGATATAATAGAAAGCACTGGATGAAGTCAGTCCTGTGCTATCGCTTTAGCTTGACATGTCTCTTCCCTCTCCTGGGTTTCGTTACGTTTTCAGTGAGGGAATTCAACTAGATGATTTCTCATGTCTCTTCTACTCCTAAATTCTATGATTTTAGGGAGAAAATTCCCTTCAGCATTCCTGGGATATAATTCTAATAATCCCAGATATTGTGAAACTTCCCTATTGACGATAAAGAGGGATGGGGAAGGCTACAAGTAAGTATATCCTCCTACTTTCTCTAATCTCTCAAACTGTTCCTGACAGAGAAAGGACAGCAGTTAGCTATGACTTTTGTAACATTTGAGGAACAGTGACCCTGCAGATTAATACTGGCAACTATTTCCATTCCTCTGTCTATTCAAATGCCTTTTTTTAAATAGTTTTATTTTATACTGGCTTCCTTAAACACTTTTAAAAAGTGCTTTAAATAAGCATTTACCTTGAAGATCTGTCCCCTTCAGTTTCCTTTTTTCCATTACAAAATTAAAATTACCCCCAGATAAGAGATGGTGTCATTTGGCAGATAAGTATAATTAACACAGAGGTATGGCAAAGTGATCAGGTTGACAGTAGCACCCTGCAAATTTTTAGTACCTCAGTGATTTTTAGGTAATTTAATGAATTAAAATGGATAGAATTTATGTGGGTTTTGGATGAATACTTACCCAATTTGTTCTTAATCACTTAACCAGTTCATTAACATGGAATCTGTTGTCAAGTACACACCACTCACCTCTTTAAAAGTAAAAAGACTTTAGAGTCTTGCCTTCTAGTTGTGTTGTTGAAACTAAGTATATAAAGATAATCATCTCCAAGTACAGATTTAGATGAATTCTTACATTTTTCATTGAATTGATCAGTTTCATTCACTCAAGTCTGTGCCTAAAGAACAAGACTAGTGTAATACATGAAGGGAACTGATTTGGTTAGTAAATTTATGTTTCTGTGAGATCCCTTTCTGAATTAGGATACTTTAATATTTCAGTGCCACTGATATAAAATAGATGACTGAAGGGAAGGCTTATTAATTTGTACCACTTTGCACACTGTACTGGGTTCTTATTCTAGTGATAGATCACCAATCAGTTGAAAACTTTTATCAGTACAAGTCATATTGGTTTTGTTTTGCTCTTTTCCTGACAACTATCTGTTTTTCATAGGTTCTCTTTGTAAAGAGTCCTTTGCTGGCCAAGTGTCGTCTTCATCATCGCTGATGCCACTTACTCCATTCTGGACCCTTCTTCAGTCAGATGCGCCTGTACTTCAACCTCCATTACCTTTGGAAGTGCCACCACCCCCTCCTCCACCTCCAGACTCTCCTCCGCCACCTCCGCCACCGCCACCGCCACCACCACCACCACCACCTCCTCCCCCTCCGCCACCTCCGCCACCTCCTCCCGCAGAAGATGGTGAGATACAGGAGGTGGAGATGGAAGATGAGGGAAGTGAGGAGCCTCCTGCTCCAGGAACAGAGGAGGACTCACCTTTGAAACCTTCACCACCAGCCACAGCTGTAACTTCCCAGGTAAGTGAAATTTAAGTGACATTCTGCAGAGTTTGGGTGATTGGGACAAGTTGACACATAATTTATAGTAGGTGATGATGTTTTTCCATGGCTTCAGCCATTAACCAGGTTCTTTGTGTTTCAGAGTCCAGCTGATTCTAGCACTTCTAGTTCTCCTTCCACTAAAGGCGTAAAGAGAAAAGCTACAGAAATAAGCACTGCAGTTCAGAGATCAGCTACCATTGGCAGTTCTCCTGTCATCTACAGCCAGGCGCCTGTAGCAAGAGGTGAGTCTCCTTACTGAAGTGCCCGGTGAGATGATTGTTTTCTGCTGGATTATTAGATGCCATCGAGAAATGTTCAAGGCTTTTAGTTACCGTGACTATTTACATCCATTTTTTTCCATTCTAAAAACCGGTCTTTAAAAGTTTGATGTATATGCTTCTGGATCTTGTTTACTACATTAAATGCAAAAATAATTTAGATATGTAAGTATCTTTATGCTGTTATATTCAGAAATTAGTAATGTGCCACTAGCAAAATGTGACCCTTTTTTTACTAAAGGCTTTTTTTTTGTTGTTGTTGCTAATATAAACTGCGTTTCCTGTTTCCTTGTTTTCAGTCTTGTCACAGTACTCTTTTTTAATAGTGTCCTTTTTATGTTTGCTCCATTAGGTCAGCAGGCAGCAGTGATCACTAACCAGACCACAGGGATTGGACTCCCGGCAGTAACAGTTAGCCTTCCAGCAGTGGGACTGGGGCAACAAACCAGGACCATGAGCCTACAATCGAGTTACCTAGGACTTGCAACACCATCAGCACTTATGAGCTATGCTGACTGTTCTGTTCCCATTGGAGTGACTGCTGCCACTCTGCAGCCAGTCCAGTCCCGGGGTGCTGTGCCAACCACCACCATTCTAGAACTACCACCACCTCCTCCCCTGCCATCAACACCACCACCACCAGCTCCCAAAGTGCCACCACCGGAGAAGACCAAGAAAGGAAAGAAAGAGAAGGTACAGTAGTTCTGGTGACGATTTGGTTCATTTGTATCCTTAAAGGTTGAAGCACATTTCACATTAACAAAATGTGGTCATTTTATTCTGTGTAATTAAGTATATTCACACTGTTGTACAACCACCATCCCCTCTAGTTCCAAGCCATTTTCATCTTTTCCAGAAGAAAACCCTGTACTTATTAAGCAGTTGATCTCCATTTCCCCCTTATCATACCTTGGATATTACCAGTCTGCTTTCAACACCTATTCTGGAATATTTGGTAGAGGTAGAATTACTTCCTAGGTGAATTAGTCTGTGTGGCTTATTTAGCATGTTTTCAAGGGTACTTCAGTCTCTTTTGTAGCTTCATAATACTGCATTTCATGCAGCATATACTTTTTTTTGTTAACCAAGCTGGTTTTTAAAGAGCATAAAACACATCCTTCATGCCTTCAAAGTTTGAGAGTACTAACAAACAGTATATGTTTTCAGGGGTTTGGGGGAGGTTTTTTTACCTTTTTACTATGGTTTTTATGAAAGTTTCTAGAACAGATTGATTTTCAGTTTAGCAATTCATGTGGATTATGTTTCATGACCTTAATTATAATTCCCATAATCTCTCAACACTGCCCACTTCCCTCCTGTGTTTGTCCTTTCCATTCATCCTTTCCTGTCCCTTACACTTTCTAAGCTTTATCCTTGCACAGATTGTTCTTTTGAGATTTTGTTTGAGGACTTCAATCTCTGTTCTTCACCTTATAAACCTGTGATTTGGCTGACAGTTGAATCATGGAACTGAGTTTAGTTCTAGTGTTGAACGGAGTAGTATAAGGACTGTGTTCTCTGGGATTTCAGTCATCTGTCAGACCAGTAGGCCTGGTCTGTTTTTATGATTTTGAGTATTCCACATTTTTCACCCACACTATAAAAAGACTTTCATTGTAATCTTTTCAAGAGTGGTCAGCAATTGTTTTCAGTCTTTTTCTGAGGTGTTATTCTGGGCAGGGAACCAAGAAGTGTGAAAGACTGAAAATGTTAAATTTATTTCCTCAGATTTTTTTGGATCTTACTCAAGAAATCTTAGTGACTTAAACCTTGATCTCCAGTCATCATAAACAGTCATGTCTTCCATTTGAGCTCCTACTCACCCTATTTAACAATACTCACTGATGGAGTCCTCAAGTTCACACTCAGCTACTCTTCAGCAACATGAGGATAAATATTGATCTTATGATTGACTAATAAAACAGCTCCCTTATTTTATGTAATTTGACAGCTACAATTTGAATGCATAATAAATACTCTCATAAGGAGTGAGATTCAATAGTGAATCTGACAAAATTAGTACAGCAGTTCCTTCCTGTCACTGGAGTTCTGCCAACACTGACCCCATCTCTGTGACATTCTGGATGAGGAAGTGAAACTGCTGAAGAAGATGGTGACCATCTGACCAACGTTAGAAGACTGGGTGGCTCCCGGGCTGGGCTGGGCAAGTATGTCTTCAAGCCACTCACCCTCAAGCACAACCAGGAGATAGGGGGGACCTCTATGTTCCCCTGCCATCAGCAGCAAGCAAGCTTGTCTTTCCTAACCTAGGCTAGAATCTTAACCCACCCAGAAGCCCCTAAAGTACGCCTTGGACCAAATGGAAACAATAAGTTTTTTGCAACAGGGGGAAAAAAAATACTAATTCTGAGGAGATTTTATATTTCATAGAATCAACTAGAGAAAATGTTTGTTACTTTTTAACTGCCATAATTCTAGTTTTGTTTTAAATTCCATACTCTAATTTTGATGGTGGTTGAGTAATACTCAGCTGTATGATGTTTTTTCATTCATCTGCCCTTACATCATTTCTCCCTTTTCACTCCTTTGAATTTTTTTCTTATTCATTGTTGTGCATTTTCTTCTCTCTTCCCCCAGCCCACTCTGCAGTGCACCCCTTGTTCCAGATTGTTGTCATACATAATGTCTAATAATATATTCCTTTCAGACAGTTCTTTCCCTTACCTTTTTTTTATCCTTTTTTAAATTTTAATGAAAATTTAGAGACTTTGGATTTACATTCATTCATTGTTGCACTTTTCTTGCCCCCTCATCTTGTATAATTCAGTGTTCATTAGCTAGGCACTCTTTCCCATCCTTTCTGCAAACCCACCCTCTCACCACTGTCTGTCCTGTTTTACAGTAGTGATATTTTGCAATATATGTCCTTTTGTGACTGAGGTATTTCACTCAGCATAACGTCCTCTAGGCTCTTCCATGTTGTGTAATGTTTTATAAGTTCATTATTTTTCAGTGCTGCATAAATTCCATTATATTAATGTACTGTAGCTTTCTCGTCTTTTCTGTTTTGATGGAGATATGGGTTGATTCCATCTTTTTGCTATTGTGAATAATGTAGCCGTAAACATAGATGTGCATACATCTATTTGCGTTGTGGCTCTGTTTTGTTTAGGGTATTCCCAGTAGTGGAATTGCTGGGTCAAATGGTATTTCTATTCCTAACTTTCTGAGAAAGCACCAGACCCCCTTCCATAGCGCTTGTACCATTTTACACTCCCACCAGCAGTGAATAAGGATTCCAATATAGCCACAGCTTTGCCAGCATTTTTTGTTGCCCTGTTGAACTTTGCTGTTGTTGCTGGCGTGAGATGGTTTTGATTTCTCATACTTTTGATTTGCATCTCTAAGTGCTAGGGATTTTGAACATTTCTTCAAGTGCTTGTTAGCCATCTGAATGTCGTCATTAGCAAAGTATAGTTCTTATTAAATTTTTTGGTTTACAGTTTGCTGGTAAAAACTTCTAGCTAATAATGTAGAGTAAAATTTTATTTTCTGTTCTCGTCATTTTAAAATGCACTTAGTCCTTGGGACCAATAAAGACCCTAATGAATGAATTCTTCTACTCTCTTTCTGTTGTATGTTAAATTCCCCTCCTAACTTTATTTGTTCTTACAGGCAAAGAAAAGTAAAACGAAGATGCCATCTCTGGTAAAGAAGTGGCAGAGTATCCAGCGTGAGTTAGATGAAGAGGAGAACTCGAGTTCCAGTGAAGAGGACCGGGAATCAACAGCTCAGAAGCGAATTGAAGAGTGGAAACAGCAGCAGCTGGTCAGGTAAACAGATGAGAGTGGATTGTGGTGATGGTTCATTTAGAGTGATCATATTCATAAATTCATAGCTTTTTGTCTTTGCTACTCTAAATCTTTATAGAGGCATACTACCACAATTTTCTCCCCCAGAACAGCCAGTGAATTGGTGGGTTAAGAATTTTTGGCTATTAAAGCCCAGTGCTAATGTACATCTTTTTATGTGTTATGGATGCATTCTTTATAAATAATGTTACAAAACAATGTATAAACGGTTGAATTAAATTTACTTTGTAAATCTTCGTTAAAATACAGTAAAAAATAATAGAGATTTACAAAGCAAATTTATTTCAACCATTCAGGCATTGGTTTTTTGTTTTAAATTTAATGATTTTTTATTTATTTATTTTAAATTTTATTATTTTTGCGCGTGTACTGTCAAATCGGATCCAACTGGTACAGGAGTAAATTGTCCCTCCTTCCTCGGCAGAGCTTCTGGTGGATTTGAACCATGCACCTCTGGGACTGCAGTGCAGCTTCTTGCCACTAGGCCACCAGAGCTCCCCTAGGCATTGTTTTGTAACATTTATAAATACAATGTAGTGACACACTTTCTTCTCTAATTCTCTTTTTCCATTAATCTTCTACAACTCTGTCTCGGTTTCCTTTTCTTTAGTGATTATTGTGTTATCATATTACTGTACATTGATTGCCTTTCTCTTTATCTGTCTTACCTGTCATCTGTTCACTAGTGTTTACTTTCTCCTCTTCCTCCCTTCCTGATCCTGGTGACTATCCAAGAAAATAGTAGAATGGACCCCTTATGGCTCATGAGTTGTCCTGCATAAACCTGAGATACAATCACAACTTTATTAAAAAAATTGTTTGCAACTTATTTACTTCCTTTGAAAGTTATGCACTATTTCAGGCAACACTATAAGAAGTAATATATTGATAAATTTCATTTTTGTTTCATATTAGTAATTTTTAGTAGAGAATTGATGAGTAATGGTTAACACATACAATGAAGAAATAGCAAGTTGTTTCAAACTATATAGAGAAAGGAAGATTTTTAAATTTTAAGATTGTTTATTTTTATGAGCAAACATAGACAAGATTTTAATTTCTTTCCAGTAATCTGCAATTTGTTTTTATTTTTACAGTGGAATGGCAGAAAGAAATGCTAATTTTGAAGCCCTTCCTGAAGATTGGCGAGCAAGACTGAAGAGGAGAAAAATGGCTCCAAACACTTAATTTTTTTTATAAAAGATGGAACTTTTTAAAAAAATTTTTTTTAGTATTTGTTTTGTGTCCAGTTCAGAGTCTTACCCAGTTTTACTGTTGTCAAACTGTAAATGTTACTGGGGAAAACATCTAAATTCCCTGGATAAAGAGCAAGCATTTTATTTGTGAAATGCAATTTTTTGTTTTACTGAAGAATAAGATGATTGAAAATACTTTGACCTAGCTGCCTTATTCTCATGCTGAGAAGCTTGGCACGTTGGGATTATGAATTTTTTCAGTCTTACTTAGTGTGGCTCCTAAGTATGACAACTCTGTAAGAGACTCACTGACAAACCGTGACGGAGTTCTTCGTGTGGCACTCTCATTAACTTCAACTTCAGAACAAGTGCAATTAAGGCAGCTCTGTATTCCACCTAGTTCAACTAGGACAGTGGGATCTTTTTCTGACCTCTTCTCCAGTAATGTTACCCCCAAAGTGCTGGGCTCTTGTCAGCCTTACCTGACAGATGGTCACACTTTTCCTCACAAATTCTAAAACAGCGAGTCATTTCACAGAATAAAGAGGTGGCGTCGTTCCATTTTAATACAGGCAGCAGCACCAGCAAGTGTCCATGCCCTTGATTTTGAGAATTTCCCTCTCAAGTATGTGGCTGTAAATGTTCTAAGAGCCACTCAGTGTATGTATCTACATTGTATTACCCTGTTCCAAAATCCATTTCCTTTTCTATGTGGGACTGTATTCTCCATAAAAATCCAGTATTTAAAAAGCTGTTTACTCTTCTGAACTTTCTATTGTATCACAATCAGGTAAAAGTCACTTTAAACTGAAGAAAAGGCAAATTGTGTTTTAAGCTATTTCTTTTTCTCCAGTTTCTGGCATTGTAAATTTGTATATATGCATTAATAAATTTTTTTATACTTCTCATTGGTTATCTGTTTTTCTTGGGAGCCTATTAGCTCTACATATCATGTAACCAGAACTTAATTGTTTTTCAAATTTTTCTTAGCATGCAATGTGAGGTATATATGTAAGCAGTGAAGAGCAGCGTTCTAGCAAAAGAGCAATAGGATTTGGTTGGGAGGGTGAAAACAGGTTGCTCCTTTCAGATGGTACTGTGTGCCCTAAGTTTCTGGAGCTTGTGCCTATTTAAAGCATTAGTTTAATATTTGACCTACTTAAATTCTGGAAATGATAGAATGTGGATAACTTTTTGAGGAAGTATAGATCTTTTTCTACTGGCATGAGGTTTCCCCAATTTAAAATTTAAGATTTTGTCAAATTGTACTGAACCTATGAACAACTGATCACGATTTGGGGTTATGTCTACTGTTAAGAATCAATACATCTTGTTGAGGGTCTTCCTCTCTGTGATCCTGTGCCTTTAGCAGCATGATGTCCTTTTTCAAGGACTTGATGTCCTCTGGACATACCCATAGTATATGTGACCTTTAGCTATCTAAGGAGCACCCTGGTTGCACTTACTCCAAAGACACATTTGTTTGTTTTTTGGCAGTCCATGCTGTATTCAGTGCTCTTCCACACCACAATTAAAGGGTATCCGTATTTTTCCTGTCATCCTTACTCATTGTCTATCCGACATAAATAGGAAGCAATTGAAAACACCATGACTTGCATCAGGAATTGTCTTCAAAATGACATCTTTACTTCCTTTTGGGGAGGTTCTTGACAGCAGACATTCCCAGCAATACATCTTTTGATTGCTGCTACCATGAGTCTGGACTGTGGATCCCATTAAGATGAAATCGTCGAAATGTCAATCTTTCTTTTAGTCTGCTCCTACGTCACCTAACAAAAGCCACAGCATCAACAGAAAGGTTTTGTAGTTAACGGGAGCCGGGTGTCCCGCCCCCGCAGAGTTCCCCCGGAAGCACTCGGTCCCCCTTCCGCTCCCCCCCCCGCGCGGTTGCTAGGCTACGGGCCTCCGCGAAAAGAGGCGGTGCGTGAGCGCGGCGGGCGTCTTCTAGGTGCGGTGTCCTGGCACCTCTCCCCAGCTCCCCTATCGCTCGAGGAGCTGCGCCCCCCTCCATGCTGCTTGGACGCATTGTCCTCGCCCCCGGTAGCTTTCTCCTCCAAAGAAACCTGTGTCCGCGTCCACCCCAGACCCCTCAGGAAACTTTGCCTTTCATCTTCCCGCGATCAGAAAGCTCCGAGCTCCCAATTCCAGCTTCCAGGGCCCGCCGTCCCAACCCTCGGGCCCTTCTGCATCTGTCTCTAGGGGGTCCCCACACCGCCCCCATTTTCTCGGGCAGCTGCGTTGTCCCGGTGGCGGCATCTTCCCGGGAGAGGGAGGCATGGGGGCGGGCGGGAGGCCGGGCGCCTGCGGGACAAGCGGCGGGAGGACTTGCAGGTGGGCCCGCGGCGGCCGGCGGGCCGTTGGCCTGCGGACTGTCTGTCTGTCCTAACACCGCGGAGCCGAAGTGAAGGGGCGGGCAGCGGGGGCGGCTGGGGCGGCCGTGTCTGCAGATGCCCGCTTCTGGGTTGTAGCTTCTGAGTAAGCGGCTGCCCTTTTGGAGGTTTCAGCCCGGGCTGCGGTCGGAGGCGAGCTGGGCTTCAGCGTACCATGCAGGAGTAAGATGTTCCCGGCACTGGACACGGGGCGCAAGCATGAGGTCGGTGCCCACCCCTCCGGGGAGCTCCCCGGGAACCCCTTACCAGACGGGAAGGGCGGTTCTGCGGGCGCCTTTCCCGAGTGGGAAGTCTTGGTCCCCGAGGGAGAATGATTTGCATATGTCTCTTTCACTTGGTTTTTTTACAGAAACCCTCAGGTGTATTGTCCTGTGCAACGGTACTTGTGTGGCTTTTTTTAAGAGTTCAGTATTTCAAAGTCCTTTAGTCGTAATATTAAGGTGGCATTTCCTTTCCCAGAGCCTTTCTGATCCTTATGAAGATTTTATGTGCGTTCACCTCCGATATTACGGCTACTTTAAAGGTAAAACAACAGCTCTTTATCCAAGTCTCATTTCCCTGGGTTGCTCAAGTGAGTGGTTTCATTCATTGAATAAGAGTAGGCAGTCTTGTCGCGTACGTGGATGAAATGATTGACCTTCATTCAGTTCCTGCCTTAAGTGTCGTTGAATTGGAATCTCCTGATGCTGGAGTTTGGAATCGGAATTTTATGATGCTAATAGTAGACTAGGGCGCTCTGGTGGCTGCTGCTGCTTTGACGTTAAGTTAATGACCCTTAGCTGACCCTCCAGCAGGTTTTCAGAGGCAGTTAATCCCACTCCCGTGCAGAGGACGAGTTTGCGCTGCAGCTTTTTACCACTCGGCCACCATAGCACCCTCTGGTGGCTTGGTGGTAAGGGATTGCTCTGCCAACACAAAGGTAAGTGGGTCGAATCCACCAGCTTCACTATGGGAGAACGATCCTCCTGGGCAATTTACTGTCTCTGAAAACCTGCTGGAGGACCAGCTATGGGTAAGTACAACTCCATGGTATGCAACAACCGTATTGTGAATCAAAGTGGTCCTCAAACAAACGTGGAGAATAAATTTCCATAATTACATCCCTCAAAATAAAACCAGTTTGAAGAAATTGTGTCCATTGTTTTTCAGGACATCTCACTCTCACCTGTGAAATGGGGGTAATTCTGTTACACATCCCTAAATTGGAATGTGAAAGCTCTTTATAAAAAGTAGAACATCCTGAGAATAAAGGGGGGGGGGATGTAGAAATAGTGACAGTTTTAATTCTCAGTATTGACTGATTGAGATGTTAACCAGCCTGGCAACAACCTGAATTATACTACTCGTTCTTAGCTCAGAGAAGCAGTTTACCAAACTCTGCAACACATCAGCATGTCTGGAAGAATAACTCTCGATACCTGTTGAAGGCTGCATTTGGGAAAAGAGAAAACTTGATACTAGACTCCCTGCAAAAGGAGAAGCTTCCATGTGAGTAACAATCTCTCATGTGTGTGTGTGAATCTTCCAGGTCCCGTACTGCAAAACAGTAGCAACAACGGTATTAATTAATTTCAGTCTGAGTGTAATGGATAATCTGACATCTTTGCTTCCTTTTATTGATCTTTGATCCCTGGAGTGGTAAAGATACTTAACTGTAAAAAAAGCATTCAAGATTTTGCTAGAGAAGTGCAAAGGAAATAAGAATGAGTCACAATATGTTTGTTTTAAAGAAAGAATATTCATAAGGCTAGAGAATTCAGTTGGTTAAGGGAAAAAAGGAGAAAATAGACAATGAATTTTTTTTCACTAACTATACTTTTTAATTCCTTTCAGAAGAAAAGGGAAGCAAAGTAGATCTTTATACATCTGTATGTTGTTGTTATTGTTATGTGCCATCAAGTCACCTGTGACTCACAGCGACTCTATATACAAAAGCCCTAAACCCTGCTCTAGCCTGTGCCAATCTTACTGTCTCTTACACACCCATCCCGATTACCCCAATCACAGCATCAATCCATCTCATCGAGGGTCTTCCTGTCTTGTGCTGTCCCTTCACCCTCCCAAGAATGAAATCCCTCTCCAAGGTCTGGTCCCTCCTTGAAACATGTCCTAAGTATGTCAGGCAAAGCTTCAGAATACTTACCACCAAAGAGCAGCCTGGTCTCACCCTCTCTAAGATCATTCTGTTTTTTCTCTGGCAGTCCATGGTATATTCAATACTCTTCTCCAGTACCATAGCTCAAAGGCATCAGTTCTCCTTCTATCATCCCTAGTCATTGTCACATTTTCTGATGCATAGCAAACAATTGTAAAGACTATGGTCTATATTAGGTGCACCTAAGTCTCCTGACTGGCTTTCTTGCTCTTTAGTACTTGAAGAGGTCTCTGACAGCAGACTTTTCCCAGTGCAACTTGTCTTAATTTCCTGGCTGTTTGGTACCAAGAGTGTTGATTGTGGAATCAAGCAAACTAAAGCTGTGAACAATTTCATTCTTTTCACCATCTATCATGATGCTGCCAATTGACCCTTTGGTGAGAATCTTTGTTTCCTTGGTGTTGAACTTCAATCCATATTGCAAAAAAGCACTTCAGGTCCCCCTCAGTTTCAGCAAGCAGGGTTGTGTCATCTACATAACACATATTGTTGATAAGTTTTCTTCCAATCTTGATGCCACATTTCTCCTCATAGAGCCCAGCCTCCTGGATAATCTGTTCTGCATATAGATTGAAAAGGTATGGAAACACAAAGGAGGAGAAACAATTGTAAGTAGACATTAGTAACTGAAACATGGAATGTGAGAACTGTGAATGTAGGAAAATTGGATATTGTTAAGAATGAAATTAGGGAGACCCAAGATGGTGGCGGAGGCAGAGACAGCATAGTGAGCTGTGGGAGCAGCGAACCACTTAAAGCGGGGCCATTATGGCCCTCTACAGACGAACACTTAAACAGTTGATGACTGGCCCTCAGTGAAGATCGAGGCTCAACAACAGGAATGCAAGGATTCCCAAGGAGAAATGGGTGAGTCTCGTGGCTCCCAACCTCCTCCTGCAGAGCCCTCGCTGCACTGCACGGCCGCTGCAGCTCCATGAGGCTTCCACAGCCGGAACGAATGGATTCCCTCACCCAGGATGGATGCTGGGCACCGGTCCTCCTCAAGACTGGTACAGTGAAGCCACCACACTGCCGCAAGGTGGTCTGGTTCTGGAGAGAATTCTTGGAGCCAGGATGGCGGCAGTGGGGGAAGCGGGCGCCCGCAGGCTGCCTGCACAAGAGGGGCCGTGCAGCCGCTGAGCGCCTGTGCAGTGGGGTGGGGGGCACACCCCAAGCAGCCGGCTGCACTGAGGGGGGCCGCGCACCGGCTGCCCGCGCTTGTGGGGGGGCACACTCCCCACTGGCCACCTGCGTAGGAGGTGGAGGATGGGATGCATGCCCGCCATCTGCAGGTTTGGGTTTCCTACCTATACAGTGGATGGCTGAAAGTCACTGTGAGTCTGATGACCTTAACAGTGGCAGCATGGACAAGAGGACTGACATCCTAAATGCACCACATATTTTGTTCTTTTGAATGCTTCTGCCAAAAGATGGTTAGACCTGGGGGGAGTCTGTTCACAATTCTCAGGTTCCCTTTATCTTATTTAAAGGGGGAGGGCAGTGACACCTACTTCAAAATATAGTATGACCACTTATGGGGGGTAAAAGTGGCAGTGCTGGAATTGGAGACACTATCCCTGACCACAGAGTCCTTAGTCAGGCGAGGGGACCAGACTGGGGTTAGGGGCAGTTGGAGGGGGAGTATACCAGCCAGCTCCTGGGGGGTGTTGCCCTGCTCGGAACGGGGTGCCCTCAGCCCCTGGCTCGGGGCAAGCCATCGCAGCTGCCTGCCCAGGGCAGTCTGCCCTCGGCCCCTGGCTCGGGGCAAGCCGTTGTGGCCCTCAGGATGAGCTCCTCAGTCCCCAGATTATGCCTTCTGACCCCTGGGTGGAGAAGGGGGGGAAAAAAAAATGCCTAGGGGATCCAGAGAATGTTTTTTGGCCCCCTTTTGCCCCCCCCCCCCCCCCAGTAAACCTGAAAGCAACACCCTCAAAGCCCTTCTATTTGTAACTCACAAGTTTGTTCTCTCTAGGTTTGCTCCCTTTCCTATAGGTAACCTTAACACTGAGTTTTAGTCCAGAATTGACCCTGAACCCAGTGCCAGTGACAAAAAGGAAATACAACTGACAGCTAAGGAAGCAAAGGAGGATGGAGCCTCTGGGTTAAACCAGCCATTCCCACTGGACCCACCTGGGAAAACACTCTGCAGTCCAGAGGGGAGCAAATGACAGGAAAATATCTTCTAACAGAGCAAGAAGGCAAGCAGCTGTAACCCAAGACCACCAGTAAGGAGATAAAGCGTCCTCCCTTCCCCCCTTTACATCTACGCCCCTGTTCAGCATAAAGAAGCCAGAGAGTCGGCATCCAGTTCCCAAATCAATAAGACAGTTGGTTTAATTACTATTGGAAAATGCTTGTCATTCCTCTGTAGCATCTGGTCCCCACTGGACCCTCATCATTTCCTTCACCTCCTCCCCCCACTGACCAAACTGTGCAGCTCTGCAACTGCATCCTGGCCCATCCTCACCCTTCTGCCCCCAACCCTCACCTCCTTGTGCCCCCAGTATGTTTTTCCCAATAAAAGGAAAAAAAAAGAATGAAATAGAATGCATAAATATGACATACTAGGTATTGGTGAAATGAAATGGACTGTCATGGAACGTTTTGAGTCAGACAATCCTATGATCTATGTTGGAGATGAAAAGGTGAGGAAAAATGGGATTGCTTTCATAGTTAAAAAAGTAATTTCTAGATCCGTCTTGAAATATAATGTTGTGAGTGACAGGATGATAGCCATATGCATACAAGGAAGTCCGGTGAATACAAGCATCATTCAAATATATGCACCAACAACCAGAACTAAAGAGAAGGAAATAGAAGATTTCTACCAACTTTTGCAATCAAAGATCCCATTTCATTAATGTATCATAATTATTTTAACTCCCCCATTGAGTAAAGTATAAGTTGTATATGCTTTATTGACTAAAAGGCATGTGGATCACAATAAATTATGGCTAACCTTAAAAAGAATGGGAATCCCAGAACACTTGATTGTGCTACTATGAAACCTATACCTTGATCAAGAAGCTGTTTTCCGAACAGAGCAAGGGAACACTATTTGGTTTAAAATCAGGAGAGGTGTACATGAGGGTTATGTCCTCTCTCCAGAACTATTGACTGTGTATGCTGAGTAAATCACTCAAGAAGCCGGATTCTACGAAGAACAAGATGGCATCAGAATTGGAGGAAGACTCGGCAACAACCTAAGTTACGTAGATAACCCAGCCTTGCTTGCCAAAAGTGGACTTGAAGCTTTTGCTACAGAAGATCAAAGACTACAGCCTTCAATATGAATCACATTACATCCAGAAAACAGAAATTCTCACCACTGAACTGATAGGCAACATCATGATAAATGGAGAAATGTTTGAAACTGTCATTAACTTCCTCAAGTTACTTGGCTATAAAATCAACACCCTTGGTACACTCAGGAAATCAGGAGATGTATTACACTGGGCAAGCCTGCAGTCAGGGACCTCTCTAAATTATTGAGGAACAGTGATGTAACTTTGAGGATTAAGATGCACCTGATTCAGACCAAGGTATTCTTGGTCACTTGCTATGCATCTGAGACCTGGACAGTGTATAAGGAGGACAGAAGAATTGATGCCTTTGAGCTATGATGTTGGAGAGGAGTACTGACTATCCCCTGAACTGCCAAAAGAAAGAACAGATATGTCTTGTAGAAAGTACAGTTAAGGTGCTTTTTAGAGGCAAGGATGGCAAAGCTTCATCTCAGATACTTTAGGCATAGTGATAGGAAAGGCTGTTCCTTGGAGAGAGACATTATCCTTGGAAAGAGAAGAAGACCCTCAATGAGATAGATTAACACAGTCAGTGACTGTTGTAATGGACTCGTGTATGTCAGAATGACAGAGATGAGGATGGTACAGGACAGAGTTCAGATTTATTGTTCATAAGATTGCTGTGGATCTTACTCGACTCAACAGCACTTAATAACAATAGAATCGACCTACTAGATAGCTCTTCACATAAAGATTTACAGGCTTGAAAATCTAATAGAAGGCCACTGTGATTTGGAATCAACTTGAAGGGTTTGACTTTTAGCTTACCAGTAACTTAAGGAGTTCTGGTGGCATAGGGAATTATGTTTTGGCCTACTTACCAATAAATCAGCAGTTCAAGTCCACCAGTCGATCCAAAGAAGGATAGTGAGTCAGTCTCTTCCCAGTAAGATTCACAGTCTCAGAAACTCCCATGGAGTGTCCAAAGAAGTTGAAATCTACTCAGCCCCTGTGTGTTAGGGGTTGTTTTTGTTTTGATTGTTAGGAGCCCTGATAGTGCCATGAGTAAGTCATTCAACTACTAACAAAAGGTCAATGGTTCAAACTCACTTGTTACTCTGAGGGAAAAATATGAGACAGCCTGCTTCCCTGAAACTTTACAGCTTTGGAAACCTTTTGGCTGTTCTATTTATTCTAACTGTGAATCAGGTTGACTTGATGGCAGTGAATTTTTTGCTGAGTTATTTCTACTTTGATGATGGTAGTTTCCTTGTTTTGTTATTTTGAATACATAATGCAGTAAGCATTTTCATATAAATACTGTGACCAACTTTTGTGAGGAAAATCTCAGATCAGTTCTTAGTGGCTTTGTTGGCTCAAAGAACATGTACCTTTTAAATTTAAAACCATAAAGGTTGCAGCAATTTGCCCAGTGGCCAGCAGGTTCTAAAAATGCCTGTTTACTTAGATCTTTGCCAGGATAGGTGAAAATAGGCAGAGGTTTTTCCTAACTTTCACATGAAAAAAAACAAACACCCTAGTATCTCTTGTAGTTTTTATTTTATTCTTAAATTTTGAATAAGTTTGAACAACTATGCCATCTTTTAAAAGGTTTGTTGGCATACCTTCCTCTGAAAGCTATGAAAGTTATATCGCATGTTCCAGACCAGAATATTCAAACGCATGGAGTTTTGATTTCCTCTTCTCACTCTGTCTTCATCCAGCAGCAGAGTGAATCAGTCAGCCTGCACCTCACATCTGAAGGCACCCAGGGACCTGGATGGAGCATTTGCTTCTCTCCCTCATTTCCTTCCCACCCTTCCCTTTCTTTTTCTTTCTCCCTGAAAACTTCCCCCTCCGTTTTCTTCACAGTTTTTTTTTCCATAGAGCCCGTCTTCCCTGTCATCTGTCCCTTCTGTGCTACCCTTTCCCATTTTCTTTGTTTTCTATCTCTCCTTATTAACCTGAAGTCTGATTTGTAATTATTCAAATGTCATTAATAACTTTATGTGCCTTTAACTGAAATATTAATAGGTTCATTAAAAGTTCTGATTCTAGTTTTTAAAAAATAATAAAACATATTATATTGTTTTTGTTGTTAGGTGCTGTGGAGTTTTGACTATGATTCATAGAGACCTTTTGAAGAACAATCTGAACCTAGCCCTATCCTGCACAAGCCTCACAATGTCTGTCTAGCTCAAGTCTTATTGTTGCAGTCACTGTGTCAGTCTATCTCAATGAAGATCATCCTCTCTTGACCTTCTCTACCTTTCCAGTATGGTGTCTTTTCCCAAGAACTGTCTCTTCCTTTATAATAGTAACTTTATGCATTTTTAACACACTTTTGAACTGTCTTGGACCTGTGATGATGAGGATGGGACAGGAGAGGGCTGGGTTCAGATTGGCTATTTATGAGGTTACGATGAGTCATTCTCAACTCAGCAGCGCCTAAAAATCACAATTAACTTTAAAAATAAAGATTTTTTAGCACATTCTAAAGCTTTATATTTAGATATCTTATAGGAGGCAAGGATTCTGAAGCTTCGTCTAACACACTTTGGGCATGTTGGAAGGAGGGACCAGTCTTTGGAGAGGAACGTCATGCTTGGAAGGGTGGAGGGACAGTGCAGGAGAGGAAGATATTCGATGAGTTGAATGACACAGTGACTGAGGTAATGGGGGTAGGTGTGTCAGAGACAATAAGGCTGTCACAGGACAGAACAGGGTTCAGGGCTTTGGTACATAGGGTCGCTATGAGTTGCGAGCAACTCAATGGCACATTACAACAATAGGATGGATTATAATTTAACATTTTATAACTTTGAACCTGTGAATCTAGACTGCTTTCCCTCTTGAAGGAGAAAGGAACATGTCCTGGGATTGAACTTCTTTGCTAATATTTGAGTACAATGCTTAAGGTTGACTTAGTTATTACAGCTGAAGAAGCTGTACTCATTCCCTTCCCCTTTGACAGATTCTCTTATGCAGAATTCATCACTTCTGAAGAGTAAGCAGCTTCTGTATGATGATCTGAGTGATGTCAACCCACGGCTTCGGGAACCCCGCGATCTCTTTGCACACTTGTCTAGCAGTGGGCCAGTGCTGGCGCCAAGATGGCCAGTAGAATGTGAGGTCATCAAAGAAAATGTTCATCACATTGGTAATGTGAATTCCATGTGGTATTCTGGCTTTTCTGACTCTTCCGTATCCTAAAAGATAAGGCAGGACGGCCTCAGTGAACATTAGCAAATCTTAACATGAGTAAGCTCTTAGAAACTTATGTCCAGTCACCAAAATCAGGAGACCAGTGTGTAAACAGGAATGCTTCAGAGTTTATTGAAATGTGAGGATTTCCTCAAGACTAAGATATGTAAATATTTACCTCTGTTTTCTATCTCAGTCTTATATGCTTAGATGAATTTGTTAAGAGTAATGTTTTCTTCAGCCCTTGTATAATTGGTGAAGACCATCTATGTCACTCAGGTTTATAACATAATATTGACTATTTTTAATTCAGAACCTGTTTCTCCATTGGTTTTCTGAAACTAAATCACATGGGAGGGGATTGCCCATCTTTCTTTCCTGGAGCCACTCATGGATTCAAACCACAAGGGAAGTGAGGCTTTTGTATTAGCAGCACAACTCCCTACAGATCTGCCACCAGAGCTATTTTTTAATGACAATGCTGTTGAATTGGAACCAGCTAATAACTAACCCTCCAGAGAGTTTTCAGAGGCTATAAATCACACCGGGAGAGATTGCTCATCCTCCTGCAAAGCATCTGGCCGATTTGAACCATGTGCCTTTGGGATTGCAGAACAGCTTCTTACTGCTAGGCTACATACGTACAACATTGCTATCGAATGGATGAGCTCTTAGGATAAGTGCAATCCTTAGCATTCATTTAATGAAATGTTTGTAAGTATGAGTTGCATTGAAAAGTGGGAATTTTTCTAATTACTGGGACATTTATGTCCAGCAAACTCGACTGTAGACTGTGCTGAATAAATAACTGAATTTTTTTTACTAACTCCATCATGTGCTAAATATAGTACTTTGGTACTAGATATAAAGAAGAGAACAAGATCAAATCATACAGGGCTCAAAGACTAGTAGTGAAAGTCAAGATACAACCAGGCAATTGCATAGAACTTGGTGTCTCTCGGGATACCTACTTAATCTGAAAGATCAGAGAGGATTTCCATGATAAATTGTTATGTGATATGAGACCTAAAGGTTGAGTTAGAAATTATCCAGTTGAGTCAGAGACAAGTGAGACCGAGAACATACTGTGTTGAATTATGAAGCATATGTTATAAAAACGATGAGGCTGAAATACACAGGGAGTTCAGTGGGGACAGAACAATTTTTGAGATGTTTGAAAATGTGTTGGGCATGTTGACTTTGCACTGTGGAGCAAGTCTGCACTGTCCTGTTGGATCTCTCTGAGTTGAGAAAATGATTCAGTGGCAATGAGTTTGCCATGAGAAGAGGAAAGCAATTTTTTTTAAAAAAAATGAAACAATACTTAGTCCTTTGGAGAGGTTCCTAACAGCAGACTTTCCCATTGCAATACGTCTTTTAATCTCCTGGCTGCTGATGCCAAGAGTGTTGACCATGGAGCTAAGCAAACTAAAGCTGTTAACAATCTCAATCTCGTCACCATCCATCCTGATGCTGCCAATTGGCCCAGTGGTAAGAATCTTTGTCTTCTTTATATTGAGCCTCAATCCATATTGAAGGCTGCAGTCTTGACCTTCTGCAGCAAGCACTTCAGGTCCTATGCATCAGAGAGCTAGACAATGACTATGGACTGCTAAGAGAGCGATTGAACAGGTTCATCCTGGAGAGGATTAAACCAGGATACTCCTTGGAGGCAAGGATTCTGAAGCTTTGCCTGACATACTTTGGACATGTTGCAAGGAGGGACCAGTCTTTAGAGAAGGAAGTCATGCTTGGGAGGGAGGGTGGAGGGACAGTGCAGGAGAGGAAGACCCTCTATAAGATTAATTGATTCAGTGACTGGGAAAATGGGGGGGGGGTAGGTGTGTTGAAGACAGTGAAATTGGCACAAGACAGAACAGGGTTTAGGGCTGTTGTACATAGGGTCTCTATGAGTCACAGGTGACTCAATGGCACATACCAACATCAAGGAAAAAATACCATATTTTTAAAAATTAATTTTTCAAAGCCTCATTGCTCTGTTCCCTGTTCTCTTTAAGAAAAAAATTAATATTTTACTGAATTATGTCAGTGTCTGTGGTACTTAAAATTGCCACACCCCATATGAGAACTCTCTTGGAATTCATTGCTAATGAGCATTAACTAAGGTCTATAGTTATTTATCTACTTTACTTTGTTTCACTCTCTTTCCGTACTTGTTTCCCAGTTCTCCATTGCCTCCACATTGCTTCTGAAACAATTAACATAGTTTCTTTGAGGAAGCTCAGGCCTAGATTTTTAAAGAGCTTTTGTGAGCAGCTGTGGGCCTCTTCTCTTGGCATATGGTTATTCTTTTTTTTCTTGCTTTCATAATTCAGTCTTCTGTTTAAAGTTAAGTATTTTATTTATGTGATTTTTGTTAAGAGTTTCATTATAGTGTTAGGTGGGGAAGATGAGACATAATTTATGGGAAATTAGAAACTTTTAGTGATAATTTTGTGTGATGCAACCAGTGTATCCATTTTTAATAATTATTATTTTCAATTTATCAATTAATCATAAAGTGCCTTTTCTATTTCCTGTTTTATGCATTTTATTAAACTGTATTTCTTTTTCAGAATGGGTGCCACCTTATCCAGAATATTTCTATGAACCTACGGGGAATGAAAAGATGCCAGAAGTTGTAGGAGAGGAAAAAGGCACAGTTGTATACGAATTAGATTCAGGTATTGTCATTACACTGGAAAGCAAGTGGATAATTTTGACAAAGTTGTAAGGGTCTTTTCTATAATAAAAATGATGCAAAAATGTCAGATCACGTTAAGTGGGATAACCAGTCAACTTTAAAATTGTAATAGTGTAGCATCCTCTTGTTGACTTCTTTTTTTTTTTCCTTTAGGTTTTTGTTTGCTTTTTCCCCTTCTGGTAGCAGAGGATGGTTACAATCCATCAATAATTTTTTTTTAGGTTAACATTTTTAACAGTCTATATTCTTTTTGTGAGTTGACTTAACAATGAACAACTCATTGTCATGGTGTTAAAACTGACTCATAATTGATCCTCCATTGAGTTTTCAGAGGGTGCAAATCACACAGGAGGAAATTTAATGCCTATGTGTGTGTGATCTCGTAGCATCGGAGATCCTCTAGCAGAGAATAGTAAAAAATCACATCAGCCCAAAACTAATTCCTGTAAGGTGGAGGTACTTCCATGCTCATGCTTTCTTCCCTGATTCTAATACCAGCTGGCTTCCCCATAACACTCACTTCTTTACTGTTGGGTCCAAATAATTCATTGCAGTTGCCATACTCATGATTATGTCACAACTATTACTTTGGGTCAGGATTTAACTGATAAGTAACAGGAACAACTAAGTATATAGTGTGAAGCCAGTCAGGACAGCTTCTAACCAAGCTGAGTTTGTGCTCATGCCTGGCTTCTGCCATCAGCCTTTTTTGGGCAAGTACCACGTTCCTTTAGTTTCTACATTAACTGCTTGGAGGCACCCAATTCTACCTGCAAGCTTCCTGCCCAAAGGCAAAAAGTGCTTCACTCTTGACCTGTGTCAAGCCTGCTGTAGTTATCTGCCCTTTCTTTCTCCTACTTCTTGAAGGTTCTCAGCTTTTTTGCTTTTTTGTGGGTGTACCGACCACCAAATTTGATCTGACTGGTACAGGAGGAGACGGTCCCTCCTTCTCCAGCAGAGCATCTGGTGGATTCGAACTGGACGCCTCTGCGATTGCAGTGCAGCTTCCTGCCACTAGGCCAGCAGAGCTCCCTTCCCAGCTCGTCTTGATGGCTGTGACATTCCCTCTCAACTTCTGTGGAATTGGTCATCCACAGAATAACCCAAGTGACAAGTCCTCCAAGTAGGTCACCATCACCTAGTTTGTCTGAATAATAACCAATTCACACAAAAGTTTTATGCATATTATTTTCATAGTAAAGTGCTCAGTCCCTTTGCAGGATTGTGGCTGGCCTCATAATTACAAACCCAGAGTCAGAAAAACCACTTATAAAGAGAAACTCATTGCACTGAAACTTGAATAGAAGAAAAATTTGAACTTCCTAAACTTTTCCCTAAATAAAATAAGAGCAAACTAAACTCCAGCAAGCAAGAGGAAAGAATAAGGAATGGGAGTCAGTGACATAGAAAACAAAATAGTGTAAACAAAAGTTATTTCTTTAGAAATATCTGGAAATTTACAAAAGTTTAGCAAGACTAAAAGACACAAACTATTACCATCAGGAATGAAAAAGCAGACACCAACCCTACAGAAATCAAAAGAATGGTAACATATTGCTGGCCAACTTTATACCAACAAATTAGGCAACTTAAATGAAATAGACAAGTTTCTAGAAAGAGGCAAATCACCAAAATGGAGTAGGATGTAACAACTTTAATTAATAATTGAAAATTTTCCTCCAAAGAAAACTCGCATGCAGGCTTGTCTGTTGAATTCTCTGAAACAAAGGTGGGATCCCAATTCTTCACATAATTTGAAAACAAAGAAGAAAATGTTAGCCAGTCTTTTTTGTAAGTCCAATATTGCTTTGATAAGGGCACTTTGGTGGCTTAGTGTCAAAAAGCTGCCCTGCAATCCCAAAGGCTCATGGTTTGAGGCCATCAACTTCTCCATGGGAGAAGAATGGGCAGTCTCTTCCCATGCGATTTAACTGCCTCTGAAAACTCAGTGGAGGATCAGCAGTGGGTCAGTTCCAACTCAGTGGTACTCAATAACAACAGCATTGCTTTGATACCAAAGTGACACAAACACATCATAAGAATACAGACCCATATTCCTTTGTTACGGTCAACAAAGTAGTATCAGATATTATACAATAACACATAAAAATATTATCTATTATAACCAAGTGAGATTGTCCTTAGAATACAAGATTGGTTAAACATCTGAGAATTAAGAAAAATGCAGAAAAATATATGTAAATGGACATGCAGCATATAAAAATGTAATTTATGCAACATAGGAGAATAGAGCTACAGTTAGATGATTAAAGCTAAGTATTTATATTAGATTGTTAGGAAGTTAATATTTAATTATAATTTTCATAATCACTAAGAGAATGCCTTATAAATACACTGAAAATGAAATGAACAAAAATGCTATTGGAGGAGACAGGATCGGAACCAGCAGCAGCGCGAGCACGCTCCTTGGGCGGTGAGCGCGCCCAGGGGCTGGCCCGGCAGTTCGGAGCGCTCTTCCTGGGCACCGCCCCTTCTCAATCCTGCAGGCGGGGTCTGAAGTCCGCGGTTGTCGGTGGATGGGACGCTCGGCCAAGGTTCTGGTGGTCCAGTGGTAAGGAGCTACACTGCCACCCCAAAGTCAAAAGGTTTGAATCCACCAACTACTGCACAGGGTAAAGATGGGCAGTCTTCTCCTTTGTAATTTACTGCCTCTGAAAACCTGCCGAAGAGTCAGCTATGAATTAGTTGCAACTCAACATCTAACAGCAATCTCAAGGGAACTCTGGTGGTGTTGTACATGGGAAGTTAAACTGCTGGCCCAGAGTCTGCTCTCTGATGTATAGCAGTGCAGTTTTGGGCAGGCCAGAAGACTGACACTTCGTAAACTCATAAAACAGATTTTTCTACTTCAGAAAAACGTTTTGAGATGTGGTGGTTTCAGCAAGGCCTCAGTTCCCTTCCTTCAGCTCTTGTAATTTGGACTGCTGCTGCTTTCATCTTTTCATACATCACTGCAATAACACTGCATCACGTTGACCCCGCTTTGCCTTACATAAGTGACACTGGTTCAATAGCTCCAGAAAAATGCTTGTTTGGAGTAATGTTAAATGTCACTTCAGTTTTATCCATTGCTACCATTTATGTGCATTATTTGCTTGGCTCCATAGTCAACAGTCTTGGCACCAGCAGCCAGGAAATTAAAAGGCGCATTGCCATGGGAAAGTCTGCTGTTAGGGACCTCTCCAAAGTGCTGAAGAGCAACGGTATCTCTTTGGAGACTAAGGTGCGTCTGATACAGGCCATGGTCTTCACAGTCACCTGTTATGCTTCAGAGAGTTGGACAATGACCAAGGAGGATAGAAGGAGAATTGATGCCTTTGAGCTGTGGTGCTGGACAAGAGTATTGAGAATACCATGGACTGCTAGGAAAACAGATTTGTCCTGGAAAGGGTTAAACCGGGTGGCTCCTTGGAGGCAAGGATTCTGAGGCTCCGTCTAACATACTTTGGACATGTTGTGAGGAGAGACCGGTCCTTGGAGAGGGACATCATGCTTGGGAGGGTGGAGGGACAGCGCAGGAGAGGAAGGCCCTCTATGAGGTGGATTGATTCAGTGACTGGGATAATTGGTATGGGAGTGTCAGAGACAGTGCGATTGGCACAGGACAGAGTGGAGTTTAGGGCTGTTGTACATGGGGTCGCTATGAGTCGCAGGCGACTCGACAGCACATAACAACAACAACAACATAAGCAAGTTCATGCTCCAGAAAACAGCCCATTTTGTTGTACATGTAGTTGGAGCGATCCTCACCTTTGGACTGGGCTCACTGTATATGTTCAGACTATCCTTTCCTACCACATGCAACCTAGAATTCATGGCAAACAAGTCTTCTGGATCAGACTACTGCTGGTTATCTGGTAGTAAGTGCACTTAGCATGCTGACTTGCTCATCACTCCTGTACACTGGTAATTTTGGCAGTGATGTAATACAGAAACTCCATTGGAACCCTGAGGACAGAGGTTATGCACTTCATTTGATCACTACTGCAGCTGAATGGTCCATGTCATTTTCTTTCTTTGGCTTTTTCCTGACTTATATTCATGATTTTCAGAAAATTTCTTTGTGAGTGGAAGCCAATTTGCAAGGATTAACACTCTATGACACTGTCCCTTGCCCAGTTAACACTCTATGACACTGTCCCTTGCCCAGTTAACAATGAACGAACTCGACTACTTTCCAGAGACTTATGATGAAAGGCTAACATCTTTCTAAGATGATTATGATTCTCAGGGATTGAGAAATATTCACAAATACTACTTAATCTGCTCTACAATTTTCAACCAGTTAATCACTGATAGTGACATTTAATACTATAATCAAGAGACGTGAAGTAAGCCATTTGTCAAGTTATTTTGAAGGACATCATCAAGAGGACCATTTGAAAAAATTATGCCTATATAATTATGCCTATACAATTATGCCTATAGCTCAGAAAATAAAACCAAAGGACTATTAAAAAAACAATGCTATTGGAGGCATTTGACTGTGT